TGTTGCAAAGCCTCCAGAGTGTCTGTGAGGGTAGAACCTGCTTGTGGTATGTTATATATACTCCTATAAATGGATTAGATAAGTACAAGTACCAGCCTGGCATAGGTATGTGCCTCAATAACATGAAATAGCAGAATGTCAAATTCACCTAAAAAGGCAGGTTGTATGCTACTTTTGGCAGGGTTCCCACACTTGTTTATGCCTCTCAATGATAGATTGGGTACTATGGATCAATGTCCAGCTGGGAGATACATGCTAGACATCTGTAAAGAATTACTAGCAATGAATTCTGTTGTTCAGAGTGACCACCACAAAAGCGTTGATAAGACATGACCTCAAAGATCCTTTCACTGCATGAGAAGTAAATAGGCAAATTACATGACTGGCTGCGTTTCAAAGCTCACATGTAGGGTGTTCTAACGCAGCAACATTCATGTAAGTAGCTACCCCTGTTGCAGAGATATAGAGTGATCATTCTGAATCAAGCAATCCTATCAATGCTTTTGTGGTGAATTGTAGTTTCAACTTCCTTTTTGATGTCTTCTTCGGCTGCCTCCAAAGGGTTGCATGTCTTGGTGTGAATAAGTTGGAGCATCTCAGTTCAGGTGAGCTGCTTTCCGAGACTGTCAACCTTGGCCTGAACAGCAGGCATTATCCTTTCATCATAATAGAGATCAGAGAATATCTCTGACTGTTGGTGCACACGCATGCCTTTGGGCTGCAGAAATCCAGAGAAAAGGGACTCCATAGATGTCATAGATTGTGAGTGGTGATTCTTGATTGCCTCGTTTTGATACCAATTCTCTATTTTCTAATTTGAAGTCAGCAATTTGTTATGGAGATTCTTGCATTGGTGGCTCACATACCTTTTTGCATGCTTGGCATTGTCACAGGCCAAAAGTGTTTGACACGTAAACATAGTGGACAGCTTAAGCATCATACCACTGAAAACATCTAAGTTGAATAGGCAAGGCAAAGTCTAGCAGATCATGAGAAGAAACAGACTAAAAAGGAAAGCTGATCAACTAAAAAGGAAAGCGGAGCATGGAAAATTGCCATCTTAGGCAACTTTGATCAGGTGACTTTCCTAATGGAAATGAAAGCCCAGAACCAGGTCCTAGGCCAGTGCAGAACCCAGCTAGGCCAGCTGTGAGTCAATCTAGTGGTAATCCATACGAGGTGTAGGCTGAACCAGTCAGTAACTAGACCAGGTGTGGGCTGAACCTAGAAAAATCCAGGTCAAGTGCAGGCCAATCCAGTAACACCTAGCCCAGCCTAGGCCAATCTGGCAAATGCCCAGTTTCAATCCAGAATGAGAGAGAAATGCTATTGGCTTATAAAGTCTGCCTCACCAAGTGAGCATGAACTGGCTCTGACCATTATAAAAATCTACTTCAGTAGCTATAATAACAATGTATTGACATTATATCAATCATTATGTAATGATTATAAGAAGGTACTACAATCATCATAACAAGTCACTATGATCACTATAACATTTTACTCTGATGACTATAACAACCCACTCTAACCATCATAGACAGTCACTTCAGTGACCATAAGAAAGTACTATAATCACTATAAGAACCTACCCCAATCACTATAATAAAGTATTATGATCATCATAACAACCCAATCTAACAATAATAATAAACTGTGTTTATGACCATGAAAAAGTATTATAATCATCATAACAACCTTTTCTAGTCACTATGAGAACCCAGTTTAACAGTTATAAGAAGGTGTTAGGGCCACTATAACAACTCACTTTAATCACCATAAGAACCTGCTGTAATAACCCTATCAATGTGTTTGGATTGAGTATTAGAAGATATTGTGTTGGTTATAAAACCCTACCATTGTCACAAGTATAAAAAAGGACTACAATGATTATAAGAACCTACTCTAATCACTATGGGAAAAGTATTATAGTCACCAAAAGAAGCCACACTAATGGTCTTAAAGACATACTCTCATGGATGGTTATAAGAACATACTTTAATTGCCATGAGAACATGCTATAATGACTATAAATAACTCACTCCAATCACAATAAGAAAGTGATGTAACCATCATAACAGCCTACTGTTACTATCATAACAACTCTTTCTAACCACTATAAGCACATATTAGAATCATCATAACAATCCACTTTAATGACCCCACACATGTGTTTGTATTGACCATTGCAAGCAATTGTATTGGTTATATGAACTCACTCTAATGACTATAAGAATGTATTATCACCATCATATGAACCCACTTTAAGTACTATTGTATTGGTCATAACAACCTGCTTCAATAACTATAAGAAAGTGGCCCAATGACCCTACAAAACCATTATAATATGGTAACAAAGTACTCTAAACATCACAACATCTTACTCTAATGGCCATAAGAAAGTGTTTATAACAACCATTCAAAGGCATTGTAATAGTTATAAGAACCTGCTCTGATAACCATGAGAATGTATCCCAATGATGTTACAAAGTATCATAATCACCATTAGAACCAATTCAATAACTATTAGAATCCGCTCTAATGACCATAAGGATGTATCATACTTACTGTATCTATATGAGGATAATCATCCACTCTACTGGCCATAAGCATCTGCTCTATTGACCATAAAAAGATGCTTATACAGCATAAGAAACCAATCTGACACTGGCCTGTGGCAAGGTCAGCCATCCGGGGTTTGAATTCCGGCATCCCGGCCTCCCTTCGGAGTTCAAATAACATGTTGATCATCTCATCTGCCCTGTGGCAATCAACGTATTCTTTGAACTCCGCTCCAGGATGCCGGAATGCCGGAACTGCAGGCCTTCCTTGAGCTCCTGCACTCTTTTATGAATAGCTCCTGTTCCTGTGGACAGATTTGCCTCAAACTTGGTATGTACCCTCCTGATTATGTATCTGAGAACTATATACACTCATATAAGAGGGGGGGAAATCTGGGCTTTCTATTTCAATTACAATGTTACTAGTGTTTTAATCATTTTAGCTCAACTACACAGAAAATGCGGTATTGCAGAATGATCAGATTGAGCCCATATCAGGCAACTGATAAGATGATCTTTTGTTTGATTGTTTGGTCAAGTCGCATCGGCTGGGTTTGAATTCCACTTTCTAATGGATTTTGTTACCAGTAACAAGCAGCTCTAATGTGATTAGAGTGGACATAACAAACTTTGTATTCAAAACCTACCCATAACCTCAAATTATGGGCTCTTTTTCTTACCACTTTGTATTGATCGATTGGTTCCCACACTTTGTGCACAGTTGATTGTTGCATGCTGGGCTTTACATAAAACTCATCCTTCGTACCTCAGGAATCTTAATAATGTTTATATGAAGTTATCATAATTGTCATAACAAGTCACTATGATCACCATAACATTTTACTCTAACAACTATAACAATCCACTTTAACTACCATGAAGCATTACTTTAATGACTAGAAGAAAGTACTGTAATCACTATAATCATTATAGCAACTTTTTCTAATCACTGCAAGAACTCAGTTTAACAATTACAAAAAGGTACCAGAGCCATTATAACAACTCACTCTAATTGCTATAAGAACCAGCTGCAATAACCCTATCAATGTGTTTGTATTGATTATTAGAAGATATTGTGCTGGTCATATGACATCCTTTCAGAAGCTGGAGAAAGTATTATAATGATTATATGAAACCTACCCTGATTACTATAAGAACCCACATCAATGGTTATGAAGACATACTATAACATATTCCAATAATTATAAAAACATACTATACTAACTATAACAACTCACTCTAATAATCATAATCATCTACTTTAATGACCCTCAGAAGCTGTCTATAACCCTACAAAGCCATTATAATGAAGATAACCAAGCACATTAAGAATCATAATAAGTGTCTGTGTTAGCCATGGAAAAGGTCATATAAGTCATATGAGCTCACTCTAATAACCATAAGAAAGTGTCCTAATAATGTTACATGGTTACTGTAATCACCATTGAAACCAATTTAATTACAATTCCTGAAGTACGAAGGATGAGTCTTATGTGGAGCCAGGATGTAACAATCAATTGCACCCTAAGTGTGGGAACCCATCAATCAATACAAAGTGGTAAGAAAAAGAGCCCATAATGTGGGGTTAGGGGTAGGTTTTGTATACAAAGCTTGTTATGTTCACTCTAATCACATTAGAGCTGCTTGTTACTGGCAACAAAATCCATTAGAAAGTGGAATTCAAACATAGCCAACGCGACTTGACCAAACAACCAAACAAAAGATCATCTTATCAGTTGCCTGATTTGGTATTGATTTTTCAGTCAGTCTTATCGGCTGTTGATCAAGCAGTGATTTGATCATTTTATAGTTGTTTGTTTATCATAATGAACTATGTTCTTACTGCATTACAAGCACATAGTTTGATCATATTAGAGATCCATGATTAGAATCCTCATTATTGATAACAGGAGCATACTCAATAGAAGCAACATATTCACTATATGTGTTTTGTTCAAATTTTGTTTTTCATTTTGTGACTTAAGTAAGCAAGTTGTCGCGACTTGGGGTCAAGCGAGGACAAACAAACATGAAGGCTGGAGGCATTCGACTGGGTCTCACCAAAGCGATGGTGAGCAATGCTCAAACCTAAAGCTAGGGACAAGAAATGTATTAGTTAGTTAAGTAAGAAAAGGAATACATGAGAGGCTTACTGACTTAGGGACAAGAGGTCGAAACTGAGGTCCCTAGGGCAGCAGAGGCCGGCTTATATACAGGGGAAGATAAGGGCAGGCTGTGCACATTGGTCCGTGTGCAGCTGGTCCGTGCACAGCATGCTGACACAGCCCTGGGGGCCGGTGAGTTAGAGCGGCTGTGTCAGTGGAGCCCGAGCTGTGCCGCGCACTGCTGCCCATCTAATCTGATCGTACAGTAGATAAGGAAATGTCCGTTTCAGGCATATAGTACAGAGGTCACGGGTTCGAGCCCGCAAAAAGGAAAATTTTAAAAAGACGGCTAGGTGCCATGTCAACTCATGACACAAGTGTCACACCGGAACCACTGGTGTTCTACCCCTGGAAAGGTGCTCTACAACTATTATCTTTACTATATAAGGCAATTTCCTGTTATGGAAGTGGCTTACTGTGCTCTATTGGTTTTGGGTAATCGACTATTGAATTGTGTTGCCTATAACTATCAAAGATACCAACTGAATCTATCAAGTGTACAACTATTCATTTATATACACCAAACTTGCTTTATGTGCCACATTCAAATCTGTATTTTGCATTTTGAGGCTTAAGTAGGTAAGCACAAGTGTTGGGACAAATTTTGCCATGCTGAGAGAGTGATGCTCTACAACTTTAGTCTCTACCATATAAGGCAATTTCCTTATATGGAACATTTATTGTTTCCATTCAATAGCTTTTGAATGGAATAAACCTTATTGTGGTAAGTATAACTGTAACAATTTACTGTAATGGCATAACAAAGTCTTTGTAATGACCATAATAAAGTGTTTGTATTGATCATAAGAACTTACTCTAATGACAGTAACAACTCACTCTAATGACTATCAGAACTTACTATATACAGTCATTATCACAAGTTGTGTCAATGGTTCTATTATAATAAGTATAAGAAAGTTTGACATTGAGTATATAAACATACTCTAATAACATATAAAATTGCCCTAATCATCATAATAATCTACTTCAATGTTTATAATAATCATAAGGAGTTGCTTTAATGACTGTAATGATTTCAATGACCATAACAAAGTATTGTTATTGCTATAATGGCCAACTTTATCCATCAAAATGACTCACTCTAAGGTAATTATAGCGAGCTTCTACAAAGATTAGAGCAAGTCATTACCAGTATTGAAGCCATTCATGTCATTATAACAACTTACACTAATGATCATAACAACTTGCTCTAATGATAATAACAACTCTTTAATGATTATAAGAACTCACTCTAATGTGCATAAGAACATATTGTAATCAACATAACAGTCTACTTAATAATCATAACAACCTGCTTAATAACCCTATAACAAAAGGTGTTGTATTGATTATAAGATTTTACTATAATAACCACTACAATGACCATAAGAACTCACTTTTCATGATGATAACAACCCACTCCAATGACCCTAAGAAAGTGTTTGTATTGACCATTGGAAGGTATTGTAATGGATATAAGAACTGGTTCTAATGATCATAATAAAGTGTTCCAATGACCCTATAAAGTTGCTTTTATGATAGTAACAAACTACTGTAATGATCATAAGAACCTATTATATATAACATAACAACACACTGTGATCATCATAAGAATGTGTGTGTTAGGCATTATGTGAGCCATCAGAATCTACTTAATGATTGTAAGGAAGTATGCTAATGATGTTACAAATCACTGTAATCCCCATCAGAATCAATTCAATAACCATTAGAATCCGCTCTATTGACTATAAGGGTGTATACTATGCTTGCTGTAAGGATGTATTCAAATGGGCATAAGCATCCGCTCTATTGGCTATAAGCACAGGCTGTATTGAGCATAGAAAGATGCTTATACAGCATAAGATGCAATGTAACAGTGGTCTGTGGCTGGATCAGCCACCCGGAGCTTGAACTCCGGCATCCCGGCCTGACTTTGGAGTTCAAAAACACGTTGATCGTCTCATCCGTCTTATGGCCATTGACATGTTTTTTGAACTCCGATCCAGGATGCCGGAATGCCGGAACTGCAGGCCTCCCTTAGCTCCTGCACTCTTTTGTGAATAGCTCCTGCACCTGTAGACGGATTTGGCTCAAACTTGGTATGTGCCATCATTTTAGTGTAGCCGAGGTATTTGTAGGCTCACATATGAGGGGGGCAAAAAATAGGCCTTCTGTTTCAATTACAGTGTTAATGGTGTAATAATCATTCTAGCTAAACTAGACTAAAATTGCGGTATTTCTGCAGGCTTCTGGTTATTATATCTGACTGCAGGCTACTATGTGGATTGTGTATGGTATGTATATCCTTCTTCCATGTTGTCTTTAAAGGGACACATTATTGAGCTATTATTTCAATTAAAGCTATACCATGGGTTTGATTGCCCTATTAAAGTAAAAAATGCTATCTGAGTGGGATATATAGAAATGCAGATTGTGTCAATATATCATGTTCTGAACCATTTGTAACAGTTGAAGGTGCAGAAAGACAGTTAGTTAGTTAGTTATTTCCATTATAAATCATTATATGCAGAAATGTAATAGGGTAAATCTTTGTATCATCTTGGATTGGATAGTTGGATAGAGTTATAGTTGCAAGCATCCTTAAGTAGAAAAAAAGGCTTTTGTTTATCATAATGCATGTTTAAGTGCATACTTTTAATCTCATAAAACAACAATAATGTGATTGTGAAAACTTGCTTAGTCATACTTTTTTCCAGGTCAATTGCCACATCACCTTCTGCTCAATGATCCTTGTGTCGACCATCATAACCCTACCTATACTGCGACAATGTTTGTGTCTTCAGCTGCCTTTGTAGTGCTACTACTGCTATCTTTAGTATATAGTAGCACATATGTTTCTATGAATCCTACATATACAACATCTTCTTTATCCCTTCATGGGATTGTGCTAGCGGACGCACTTTTCAACCAATCTGCACCCAATTTGGGATTGGCTCAGGATAGCACCATTACAAAAACACTTCCAAAATATAAACATCCCAATGCAATAACATTGCCAAACCATGACAAAAAATATAAATCACCACTGTCAAACAGTTCCAATATAAACAATGAATTGCAGGGTAAAGTATTGACTGGTGTACAATCCATTATGTGTAATACAGGTAGAGTATTGGTGAATGTGAACATTTTAAAATGGTCACCCATGCCTTTTTTGGATACAATATTGCCAAATACACCCACACAATGCTTTGTGTATATTGAATGTCAAGTATCCAGTTGCACAGTTAAGATAGTGTCACAAACATATTTCTGCAAATATAATCAAGCATTTTTTAACAAGTACATATTATATATAAAGGCAATTCTATCACTTTACTCTTGTCCAGTTTATCACATTAGCTTTATACGACTTTCATATTTGAAAAGTGTTCATAATCAATTTATGAAACATGATTTTAAAGTTTTACTGTATAGCATTCAAATACACATATGTATCAAAGATATTTCAAGTTATATACATTGTGTTCATTATGTAAATGCCATTTCTGTGAAAGTTAAGTTTAATACTGCACATATGAATACACTTTTAGGTGGTGGTTTATAGCAGAAAAAATCACATGTATGGTTAGCAGCTGATCTTGCACAATACACCTTGGATACAACTGATGTAGGGCAGTCTTGCTTGAAATATCAGTATCATGATTATATATTAAGATCTCAGCTTGACAAATATCATATGCAAGATCGTTTTGTAATTGCAGATATTCCTATGGACATATTAGCTAACCGCTTGTCTGGACATGCATTGAAAACTGCGTGTGAATCACACAATATACCAGTTCATCACAAGCAGATGAAGGTAAATGAGATTTCAAAACTGCTACAAACTCATATTTGTGAAACATGTCCTTGCTTTGTAACAGTGTTTGTAACCAAGAAAGAAATAGCAAATGGTGCAACACGTATTGCAGCATATTGTGCAAAACAAAAGATGCAGAACAGTCTTGCAAATGTCAAATCTACCTCAACACATCTTGTGTTTCCACCTGACCCTCCAACAAGTCAGCAAGTGGCTGCTATCATTAATGATTTTCATGCAGACCTTGAACAATCCAAATATAAAGAATTAGCATGTGCAGTATGTGGACTACTTACATGTGTGGTGAAGCTTGCTGCTTTGAATGAATGTAAGCTGGACTTATCAATACTGAATGTTCCACATAGCATACATAAGGAATGTGTAAATGCTAAAATGCCAATTGAAGAACTTGAAGGTCCTATTGATACAATGGTCTATACTCCTATATCGATGCCTGACTTGTAGACAACGAGCGAGGACTTATGGACAGTACATTGTCCTGAAGATCGAGCAAGGAAGTCGAGAATGACCACTACCCCAAGCGAAGAGGAGCAGAGACTTGAATGAATAACCAGGTCGAACTTAGGGTTCGACCGACTAATGGTACAACTACTTATACAAGTACCGACTGCGCACGGACCATCATGTCTATGTGGTCGTGTTAGTGAAGAAAGAAACATAGTGGTACAATGCCGAGTACGAAGTGCGCATGGACCCCATTATGTAAGCTACATAATGTTCAACCTGCGGGTGAGCGCTAAGACAGGCACCAGTATGGGTGCTAGTAATACAAGGAATAGAACGGAAAGACAAATGTTTCATTACCCCCCTGCCAGAGTCGAAGTCCCATTCGACTACTTACTGCTCACCATCTCCATACAACTCCCAATCTACGCTGTCGTCCTCCTCTTCGTCGAACCACTCCTTGCGTGCGTTCCTCCCTACATTCTTCCATTCCTCGCCAGAGAGGTGCTTTTGATGTGGCCAGGAG